CTCTACTTCCGGTCGCTGGTGAATGCTCCCGGACTCCAGATAGATATCTACACTTTCAGAGCCGCTGACGCTGCAGGACGCTCAGAACGCTAGTGGACGCCGGTAGACGCTGGTGGAGCTGCCGCAAAGTATGAATGCAGCCTTAGGAGTTATTCTGACTATCAGCACTACTCACCACTCGGGTCAACCTCGAATGGGGTATCAGACTCTTCAATACCGTAAACAACTACGCCATAGTTGTCAGCGTCACTATCATGAGCGATGAGATGCAACAAAGGTGTTCCAACAGCAACATCACTGTACACGCCAATAGTCGACGGGGTTGCGTCAAATACTGGATAGTTGTCGTTGACGTCCAGAATCGTTACGTTCACCGTTGCAGTAGCGACACCGTATTCGAAGCTGGTAGCCTAAACAATAATCTGTTTTTAGACTCCAAGCAGCGAACCTAGAAAAAACTGACCTTTACGGGGAACATGTAGGATGCTCGCGTTTCTCTATCCACGTCGAAAATGATAAGCTGTCCGTCGTTGGTGACGAAGAACGGTATGGGTCCTGCACCCTCACCAATCTCATACCGTACCGTAGTGTTTCGATTTACCGAGAACGGTTCTGGTTTCACCGACAAGCGGATTCCGTTGGAGTACTGACCTTCGGGAACAAAAGCAAAATACATAGCTCTCGAAAACGAAAAGGTTGCATTGTTGACGGGAGGTTGAGTTGGTAGAACCAGATCAGTCGTGACCGTATATTGACGAGTGGTAGCAGGAGTCACCGTGACTGAGGCTGGGCTTGCGCTTGTGAACAGCTGAGTTCCCGAAGTGATTTCGCTGATAGTGGTAGCGCTCTGAGTTCCCACCGTCAGAGTGCTCTCAAATGTTCCGGTAATACTTTGAGAGGTTGTTTGTGAGCTACTTCCAAAGGTGGTGGGAATAGCGCTTGACGGTCTGGTCCACATTCCAGTAGTCAGTCCAGTGCTACCAGTAGTGAACGGAGTTCTCGTGATTAACGTGCTCTCGCTCCCGCTAGTTACAAACTGAGTGGAGGGCCAGCTAGTTGCAACCTGAGTGGAGGGCCAGCTAGTTGCAACCTGAGTGGAGGGCCAGCTAGTTGCAACCTGAGTGGAGGGCCAGCTAGTTGCAACCTGAGTGGAGGGCCAGCTAGTTGCAACCTGAGTGGAGGGCCAGCTAGTTGCAACCTGAGTGGAGGGCCAGCTAGTTGCAACCTGAGTGGAGGGCCAGCTAGTCGCAACCTGAGTGGAGGGCCAGCTAGTCACAATCTGAGTGGAAGGTGAAGAGGAAACAGTTGGCGAAACGCTGATGGAATCCGGAGCAATTACGTGGACAACGAAATCAACCTCAGCCACCGTCGCTCCCTGAAATGTAACGGTTTATCTCAGAACAGACCTAATGACTCGGAGTAAGAAGTGTGACTCACGTGTCTCACTGCTAGAATTTTGTCCTCGACTTTGATGGGGCCATCGAAGATGACAGCGGTGCGGACCGAACCCTCACTGTCGATGTAGAAGAGCTTAGTCGTCTTGAAAACGAGTTGCACACCTTCTCTGTCATCAACTCCCACTCGTCCCAGGTATGTGCCCACTCGGGCATCACTCCGAATCGCATAGATGTATCTGGGTCGAGTGAAATGCACTTCTGAAAAACTTTATATTGACAGAGTTCTACAGTGAAACAAGGTATTCAAAGAAAGAGATCGTCGTTGGTCCAATAGAGGTGGGTTCTTTTTGGTCAATAACAATCAAGACATCCAGAACCACTAACTACTATTCAACTGCTAATACATATTACATACTATAGATGAAGTGGATGAAGGTGATGCAGTGGCAAGTGGCACACTTATCACGCGTACGGTTCGGGGATCAAGTCATCCAATGAGTCATACGATACTGAATGGAACTGGAATGGGTGCCACATCCCTCGAAAGCAGGAGAGAGCTCTGGGGTGGAGTGATTCATTCACACCGGATTCACTTTTCCGCAAGCTTGGGCGAAAATACTTATCCCTTGGCCCACAACCGTTCCTTCAACTTCAAACCACTGAAACTCTTTTGAAACGAAGAAAAATTATGGAAAAGAAAGTTCTGTGCACGGAATTGGTATTACCGAAATCCGACGAGCTATTATCGTATGCGTGCAGTAGTCACCTTTGCAAACGGCAAGGCGTGTCAAGGGGGGCATGGACTGCAGCGCAGCCAGCGCAGACTTTTCCACCATTTCATGCTCATTCCATGTGATCATTGGTAGGAAAGGCCGAACCAGCTGAACTCTAATCCACGCCTCCTCAGGAGCCTTCTCGTTGGCAGGGACAACGACTGTACGTATGCTGGACCAGCGCCAAACTCTCCCCTAGAAAAAGACTCCGAACCAGTACCTTTGAATGGCGTTGTAGTTGATAAAGAGCTGAGCTCGACCTCGGCGGTTGTTTCCGAAGCGAAGGTGGGACGCGTTTCCAAAGCGCTAGTTGACTCTAATGAGTTCTCAGTCTCTGGAGAAGATCCTCCAACTGTCGATGGCACACGAGAAGTTGTCTGGACCAATGCTGTCGAGGCAGTTCCTTCTACTGAGTTGGAGGTGACGACGGTGACATCGCTTTCTTGTACTCTCACTCTAATATTAGTGAAGGTTGACAGAATAGGCTTTCCATGATCTTCGGCCACTATCAAAAAACTGTAGAGCGACTGCTTCAATTCGGAAATCGGCACCCGTACGGAGAGCTGACCCTGAAATGATAAAAAGGGTGATAAATTGGATGTCAAGAAGAAGCCATTAGTAGCTAATACCTCTGAATCGATGGCAAAAAGATTTCTGAACTCTGGCGGTTCGATCGAATATGTCAGCACATCTCCATCCGGATCCGTGGCAGTGATCTTCTTCAGCAAAGGGTTTCTTTGAGATGGGGTCACCAAAATTGTATAGACCTCTTTTGCAAAACGAGGAGCGTGGTTCTCAGCCGGCGTTTCTCTATAAATTGCAGAGTGTCAAAATTATCTCAGAATTGGTTCTATTTTGGTGGGAGATTCCTCTATTCATCACTGGCATACGGTAAGTCTATCCATACGCTATCTTGCTCATAGCGATAGTAATGCAACATACTTCGTGGGCTGACCATTGCTGAAGATGTTGAGTCGAAGTGTCGCGTTCGCCGTGAAGACCCCATCGGTGACGGAGACGATACAAGTGAGCAAGCCAGGTTTCCGCTTTGAAACGGGTGTCGTGAATGACACAATGCCCAGAGGGTCGACAGCCAATGATGAGCAATCCGGATCGCCACTAAGCGAGTATGACAGTCGGTCGTGATCGGCATCATTGGCGCTCATCGTGAGGATCGGATAACCAATCGGCAGATCAGCAGATATCTGGAAGGTACGAGAAGACTCAGTGAGAAAGAGTTCCGTGAAGTTCCATACAAACCTCTTGTTCGTAGTTCACCCGTTGGAAGATTGGTGGGCTGTCGTTTATGTTGATCACATTCACAGTGACTGTAGCAGTTGCTGTGTGTGGAGGAACACCGTGATCTTTGGCTTCAATCAGGAGTTGGAAACTTCTACGGAGCTCATAATCCAAAGGTAAGAGTGTTTTGAGAATCGCCTGAAAATGCAAATTACTTCACACACATATCTCTTTTCAGCCAAATCGACGCTGCCTTCAGAGTACTGGCAATAGCATGGCGTTCGCAAAAGGCGTATCAACGGAACTAACTTGCGACTACGCGACAACTACTAATGTTTAGGCAGGCAGAGAGGGGTCGAGGAAGCGTGAACCATTTCTGGAGCCGGCTCCAATATCATTTGAATGCTGCCTACGTGTGCTTATTAATTGGCAGCTCTCCAACATCGCCGCACACATGATTCATTCCGTAGCTACGCCCCTTCCAGATGCTAGGGTATTGGTTGGTCTCCGAAGAAAAAGGCCGCATCAGTGATCCAGTGACTTGTGAAATCAGTTGAGTCGTAGGCTATACTTGTACTGGTCGGTGAGTGGGTGGTCAAACTTCGAAGCAGCATGAATACCCTTCACTGGGAATTTGAGTACGCGTTTTCTGCTGCTTCCGCCACCTTTGCAAAATGCGTGACAGCCAGGAACTCAGAAGGGATCGTTTGCTCACTAATGGAGTGATTCGGGTGTCGTTTCGATGGACCTCGTAAGCGAGGAAGTAGGAGTATTTCTTAGCTAGTTGACTAAATCAACATTTCGATGTTGAATCATTTAGACCCTCTTGCGGAGGACTTGCACGCAACTACGATCGCGACACCTCGTCACCGCAGGGTGTATCTTCTAGTCGATAGCCGTTTGATTTTCATGTAGACGAGATATGACAGAGGACTACAGTACCGCGGTTTTGAATGCAACATCGGTGGTGACGATCGTAGTCAATGCGAGGCTCGGCTGCGAGTTCTACCCAAGTTTACATTGGCGTCTGGCAGCAAGTTCGTTGAGTATTGTGCCCCCTCCCCCTCCCCGTTGAAGCTTTGGACATAACGTGGGGGAAGCCTGTTTACTGTTTATGCCGCTATCTATAGAAACGCCTGAAAATAGATCAAGGAAATCAACTAACATGATTGGATGGCGTCTTTTCAATGGTGAAATGACCACCAAAATTTCCTCCAACAATTCGATATTCAAGATCCCCGTTTACACCAGCGTCACTGTCCGTAGCGGTGACATCAAGTGAAGAGTTTGAAGGACCTGTATTACTGCTTCAATTGTCAATGAAACATGAAAAAATACCTGGCTGGGCTGCTCGGCTTAGTGGGGAGTGGGTGCTTTCGTCAGCTCCTCCTGTTAGTTCATGTTAACTAACAAGTCTCACCGAAGTGAGACCTGTAAATTCTTATTAAGCTGCGAAATGGTACCAGCGAACCAGTTTGGTTACAGAAATTTACCGGTTTACACAAAGTGAAGTATTCAAGTTTAGCCACCGTTCGCTGCCCCACCAAGCCAAACTGTACCAAAAATTTCTTAGTAAACCTTCGGTGATATTCCACACGAACGATGGCGTAGGAAACACAGGCGCGTTGTCGTTGACGTCTTCTAAAGTGATGACGACCCTAGCAGAATCCTGAAATGAACTACATTATTCTCACGCCTCTGAAAGACGACAGAAAACACGAGCGACCTTATTGCCGCTTCTGTCGATCGCCTCCACTACCACATCAAAGCGTGGCATATCTTCACGATTCAGTGGTTTGTCACCAAGGATAAGTGTGCCGTCTTCTTGAATGAAAACCAAGTCGCGACCAGTGCCTTGAAAAGGCAAATTAAAGAAGCAGATTTCACGTAGCGAAAGAACGACTTTTGTGTGGAATGAATTTACGAGATAAAGAATTTATTTGGCTTTCATAACTCAGAGTCATAGAGGGTTTCCAGGGACATAGCAGGTTTTACAAAGGAATGCGGGAGCTCCAATATTTAACGGCACCAATATCCCTTCATCGGGTGCGCTACGCATTGCACTTCAACTCAGGGTCGTGGTGACAATTCCATGGCATTTGGCACGATAAGTCTCTAAGACGAGTAGGATTAATATGCCTGGCAGGACGGAATTCCGCGATCCTGAGCAGGCGCTGCGTAGCGCCTTTTCCAAGGAAGTTACTCTTATATGGCCCTATCAAGCTGCAAACATACCGGACCCCGGACGCCACCAGCGCTGGGTGGTTAGCGACGTGCCCGAACAGAATACCGTACCGGGGGATAGCGCCCGCCGCACCGCGGCAGTCGCTGGCGGCCTGCGTAATGACGCAGCCGGCTCACAGGAAATAGCATTTGCTAGTCGACAGCTCTGCGATTGGAGCAATTGATTTGCTCCAGCGTACAACCGCAATAAATTTAATCAACAATTGAAAATCTAACGATGTTTCTCTTGATAGTAACACACAATTGTTCTGGCGGATCCATAGACGCAACTTCAGGAAATAAACAAATACAAAAGAAATCAAATAAGGCAGTTGTTCTCCCTATGTTTATGTGGTTCACATGATTCGCGCAGTCGTCAGCGTCAACATTTAAAAGATGAATGGTCAAGTTTTCCTGTGAGCTGCTGTAAAAGATGACACACCAGAGCAAATGTTAAAGACCCTAATGAAGTTCACGTTCTGATAAACTTTTGTCCCCAACTGAACATGAGGCTCGATCCTGGGTGATATCAATCTTTACCGTCAGTTCAATATCCCTATTCAAACTGCCAGAAGCATGATTCTTCTTCTCGCCGCAAATCCGCATTCATTGGGTTCAGACGCTTCCTTAGGACAAGCTAGGCTAGTCCTGCGCGCAAGCATGAAGGACGTTTTCTCTTTTTCGCAGCTTATAAATACCTGAAAAAAGCGCGACAAGCTCACGACGAGGCCGCAGTCCTGCCCAGTGGCCACGACATGCCCACCTTTCATTTTCAAAGACTTCTCAGAGTGGGGTTGTTCTACTACTACTTGTGTCTACGGTGAAGGTGAGATGAAATGGAGATAGGGCCGACACCGACCAGTTAGAACTCGTCCGGCTACGCCATCTCTTCGCTCTAAGCACGTGCAAACAAGGTTCAGCATAGGGTTCTATATGGGGCGATTCGCGTGGGTTTTTCTACTTTTCGTCATATCGTATATTTACCATCACTCTGTAAAGCCTCACAGCTCACTGTTTCTGAACTCGGGTTGTGCCATTAAGCAGTTTCTTGTTATTATCACAGGGACTAATGTTAAGCACGGG